CACCGTGGGCCAAAAAAATTGATGGGCCGAAACTTCTAATCAGAGATAATCTATCGAGTCATTAAACATAACAAAGAAACAACATTAGATTTATCTTTCAACACATTTGACACAACCTTTGGATGTGAGCTTCTTTAAGCCCTTGAAGGTAGTTTGACGCGGTATGATAACAACCTACAACACCAAAAACCCACCAAGACAGTACAGTAAACAAAAGCACTTTTGCTCATTTATCGAAAAAGCTCATTGAAGAAAATTAAAAGACGAACAAATCATTTAAAATGGATTTAGAGCTACAGGAATATACCCGTGTAATAGAGAGGAGGTTCTTAATAGAATGCCTAATAAAAGATTGGATAGAATCAATACTGATATTGTTGGATTTCCTTAAGGAAAGTGGAGCTCCTTCAGAAGCAAGCACCCCAAAGAGAAAGAAGATATTAAGAATTGAACCTGGCAAAACTGTTGCAAGTGAGGATTTCACGACAAATATTCCCAAAGATAACAAAAGTAAATAAAGAAACTGAAGAATATGACTGAAGAATATGATTGAAAGTGAATCTGAGGACAATTTAAAATTAGATGAAGTCGGGGATTTCCAAAAGACTGATGACCGCAATGACGAGCCTCAAGCCCATTGCTTCCGTGATATTGTAACTAGCAAGACTGAAGGTGAATCAAAATTAGTTAGAGTTAAAAATTCCGATTTTTCTACTTGTAGCACTTTTAAGGAAAAAAACAATACCAGCATTTTTTGCACAAATTATTGACAAAGAAAAGGACTGCTGTAATGTAAAGTTTTTAAGATTAAAATCACAAAACAACTTTTGTTTTCCTAATATCGATGACACAGGCCTAATTCTTAAACACAATATTGTGACTATTTTAGAATCGCCAAAACTTGCATCGACATCAAGACAAATTTTTACATTCGAAAATTTTGATTTTTTCAAATATAACATGTTTTAGTTTTTTGTTTCGTAAAAATTTAAATGTTTATTTTGAAGCATTTGTTAAATTTCTTTTGTGACTTACTGACTTACTACCTACTTAAAATAGTTAAGAATTATGTTACCTAAGAGTTATTATTATTTTACCAAAGAGTTATTATTATTTTACCAAAGAATTATTATTATTATTTTATAAGAGTTGTTTGTTCACTTTCAAAGAGGTAAATGTTCCTTTATTTTCTTAGAAATATACATTTTTAATATAAAAATGAATTATATTTATTAAAATATTTTTTTAAACACATTAAAGGAGGGTAAAGTAACCCTTCGAGACTGTTAACTAAAAACGTGCAAAAATGCCAGTCGACAAAGTAACCCCAAAGTCGAGGTACCTTTGTCAACATTTTAAACTTTTAAAAAATGTGGTTCTAATTTTTTTTATGCTTTCTAATTACAAAACTATGTAGCCAAAGTAATAAATTTTCATATAGTTAGAGCGCGCTTTATAATTCCCAACAAAACCATACGGTATTTTATTTTTGTTTACATGTATTGGTTTGAACATTAATATGAAATAATAACTTTATTAGTCCAGTCCTTTCAATAAAATTTTAGGTTCCAAATTTCTGATATAACATTTGACGCTAATTTACAAACCAATGACCTTGAACTGTAACTATTAATATTTACATTAATTATTTACATAAATTTTTGTAGTCGTCTTTTATAAGAAAATTTAAAAATGAAGAGAAAAATATGTTGTTCTATTAAAAACAAAAAAAAATAGATGATCTCTTGTATACGAAAGTATAAATAAAATAATTTTAAAGCAGGTTGCTTCGGAAAATAAATTTATAAATAATTGTAATTTATCAAATAATAGATACATATAATCAAGCAGTATTTGTCTTGTTTTGGTGATAAGTGTTTTGAATGATTAGAAAAATAATTTTATTTAATTAATGTTTTATCAACGGCGCCGTGGCTTAGTTGGTTAAAGCGCCTGTCTAGTAAACAGGAGATCGTGAGTTCGAATCTCGCCGGGGCCTGTAGTTTGTAGCAACAAGCTACTTTTTTTTAAGAAATTAGGTATTTACAGTGTGTCACAAAAAACCGTACCACATGGACATCTTTTTTATTGTTATATTCTCAGAAAATTTCATTCTTGATCAAAGTTAGCGCGTAACCTAGAGCGGATATAAAGTTCATAAATATTAAAATTTGTCTACCATATACGAGGAAAGTAAATACATATAAATTTCAGGATTAAAGTATCCTTATTTTGAAAAATGGAAAAAAAATTATTTTTTTTATCAAGATTTGAAGTGAATTTTTATTAAGTTTGAACTTGTTGTTATTAAGCCCTGCCGTTTTAAAGGTAGTATGCAGAAATTATCTTATATAGTTCCAGTAGTACTGATCAGCGACAATTTTTTAAAAAACCATTCTTTATTTTCAAACCTCATACATAAAAATTATTATATTATAAAACAATTAAATTTAGTAAGCGTTATTTTTGTTTTAAATAATTGATCCATGGATTATTTTTAAGTCTAAAATTAATTTTTTCCATAAAAATTTTACTTAAAAAAAGCGACAATTTTTTTTAATATTCAAATATTCAATTTTCTAAACTTTATGGACGTCAATTTGAAGTATATTTTAACAACATGATAATAAAACAAGTTTTTTAAAAATATTAGGATCATTTTATGAACTATAAACAACTACCTTTCAAATCATGATAATGTAGAGTAAAACGATCGTTTTGTGCAAATCCTTCCAGTATTATCTGTATTTTATAGTGGTAGCACAAGACATTAAGATTTACGAAAAACAACATGTTTTAAAATATAAGTTTAAGTACCGAGTGACCACGTAGACACTCCCTGTATGCAACGTGAGTAATCTGATGTGACGACATCAAGCCAGCAAAATTTAAATAGCGTTAAGAATTATTGATAATGCGCTAGTTCAGTGTGATGTCATTTTGGTTCCACTGACATTTAATTCTAACCAAACTTTCAACAAAAATATCAATACATTTGACATATACATTTTTACTGGTTTTATTTTATTTCAAAATATTGTTTACAGGTCATACAAAATATTTTAAAGGTATGTAATTGGTAACTAAACGATTATATATTTGATACATGCTATCTACTTACTTTAGGAATATATTTATAAAAGTGAAAAAAACGATATAATTTAGGTAAACAAAACGAACAAAACACACTCAAAAATCTACTGGCACTTTAATTGTCAGTGGAACCATAATTACTGAACTAGCGCATAATATGGTGATATAAGCGGTAGATCTGGACCTTGTGTCACTTTATATACAGAGTGTTTCAAAAAGGTATGTCATAAATTAATCCACAGATAGATTTTCAAAAAATAAGTGGATTTTGCTATATTTACCTATATCAAAAACTGTCTCCCAACAAAGTTACAGGGTGTTAAACATTCAGAAAAACGTTTTTTTTTTTATAAAAAGTTTGCTGTTGCGATATTTTTTTCTAAATTTTTGCCAGTGCTGTAGATTTGAAGGCACAATATTCTAAGAAAAAAAAAATTTAAAGCGTCCCTTTTAAAAAAAGTTAGGGGGTTCGGTACCTTTAACCCCCCCGGATTTTTTTTGACATAAAGAAACTTGCTTTATCGATCCTAAAATCAAAAAGAACTATGAATTTTTAAATTTTTTTTTTATAGCAAAATGAACTTTGTATCTTTATAAGTTAACGAGCTATTTACAATTTTTTAACTGAATTTCTAGAGCAATTCGTCCGTCCTAAGTATGTGGTCCGTCCTGGACTTAACATATCAACAAAACTAAGAGTAGGTCAGGAGTTATTGTACAAATAACACATATAAAAATCAATGGTGCGCCTAGGGCTGTGCTTGAGCCGCCGCCCCTGCAAAAACTACCTCTTTTATTTATATTTTTGTAAAAATGGTATTTATAATATTGGATTGGCGCCATAAAAATGGTGTGTTAGTTGGGAAATGTATTTATTAAATTTAATAGTAAATAAAAAAGTTATTTTTTTAATTAAACAATTAACAAAAAATTGACAATTAAAAATAAACATTTGGTAATAATTATTATACACATTTTATAAACTATTTAATTTAGTAAATATTCAACATGTCCTTCTCCTTCTTGAATACAAAAATATAAATAAAAAAAGTAGTTTTTGCAGGAGCGCCTGAAGCACAGCCCTAGCCACACCACTGAATTTTATATGCGTTTTTTATACAATAACTCCTGACCTACTCTTACTTTTGTTGATACGTTAAGTCCGGGATGGACGAATTGCTCTAGAAATTCAGTTAAAAAATTGTAAATAGCTCGTTAAATAAGAAAGATACAAAGTTCATTACGCTATAAAATAATTTAAAAATTCATAGTTCTTTTTTATTTTAAGATCGATAAGGCAAGTTTCTTTAGGTCAAAAAAATGCAAGGGGGTTAAAAGGTACCCAACCGCCCAACTTTTTTTCTCCTTAGAATATTAGGCCTTCAAATCTACAGTACTGGCAAAAATTTCGAAGAAAAAATCGCAACAGTAAACTTTTTACAAAAAAAAAAGGTTTTTCTGAATGTTAGTTTAACACCCTGTAACTTTGTTGGGAGCCAGTTTTTGATATAGGTAAATATAGCCAAATCCACTTATTTTTTGGTAATCTATCTGAGGATGAATTTATGACATACCTTTTTGAAACACCCTGTATACTCAAATTTCTATTAAAATACTAACATTTTCTACTTTCCAACGACGAGTCAAACAATGGCTGCCGGTGGGAAAGGCTCGTATATCTAAGAAGGTTGAGACATCTTGGACGCTATTTTTATTCGAAATAGTAGTTGCCAATCCTGCCAATTTATGAAAATATTTAAATTTAATACATTATTCATGATATCACGTGCTGTAAATAGAATACATCGAACGTCGCAACCCCTTAGATATACCAACCCATCCTACTGACAACCATTTTGTTTTTGCTCTTCTTGATCTTAATATTAGATTTTGTTTTCCTCTTTTAGTGGATGGACAACCTAGAGCAATTTATTCGTACATATCAAATACAGAAAGATCAAGTTACTTCAGCTTAGTGGTAGAGGGCCACACCTTTTACAGACTAAATTACCCGTTTCGATTGAACAGATGGTATCACACATGCCAAAGCTGGAATGGAAAAACGGGAGAATGGCAAATTTGGGTCAACGCCGAAAGAGTTGGAAGAGGATTCCACAATAGAGTAAGTTAATAATTCTCCATAAATTTTAATTCGCTTTTATCGTCCATTGCGATTCTATTAGAAATATATTTATTTTGGTATATTTAATACAATTTTATTGGATTGTACGTATAACATTACCTACAGATACATGGTGATTCATAAGATATGGGTAATTAAATTACATGCAGATTCTATTAGTTGTAGAGCCAAAGTGCTGATTTATGACTGATTTTCTTCTGGCTGAATTTATTATTAAATTGTACTATTATACGTGTCCAACGAATTTAGGAAGGCGCGACATTCAGACTACGGCGCTTACATAGCTGTAAGCATTACAAGTGGTAGGTGTCTCTCAAATACATATTTTCTTAACATTTTCGTTATGTTCATTCGACGATAAGTGCCCACCTACAAGAAATATCAAACCTTCCACCAATTTTGGTGGATCGTTTTCTCTCTTCAACGTTTTCAAGTAGTGCGTGAGAACATGAACCAGCACATTGAATAATACATAATAATGAAAATTTAAAAATCGGCAAATATTAAAATTCATTTTCAGCGACCTCAAAACCCCTTGATTGATTATTTACATACATTTTTGCCAAAATCATTCATATTTTTTTTAAATTCATTATTATTAGGACACAAAAAACTGCTCAATACTTTTTTAATGGACATTAATTTTGTGAAAAGGTATGCTGCCGTCCTAAAAACAGATGCCGTATCTACTGAGAGCGCCAAGCTGAGAAAGCGGGGTTTAAAGTTATTTGCTTAGCCCTCAAGTATTTAGGCGTATTTAGGGAAAACAAATGTGATTTTTTAACCATCATAAATATAAAAACAAACTGATTATAAAAAAAATCAAAATTCCTCAATTTTAATTTAAAAATGCATTTACGGCCTTTTGGATTAAAATGGTATCTTTGTTATGCAAGGCAGATATGCAGTATGTACTTAAGTAAGGCTCCACAAAAGTGCTTAAAATATTTAGATCTACTTGACATTTTTCTGAAAATATTAAATGGGTGTCACTAAAAAATAATTACCAGGAATTCAAAATTACTGCTTAATAATTTTCGCACAAAATTAACAAATTTTGTTATTACCAATAATGAATAATTATTAATTGTTAAATAGTTATTTAGTAGGTAATTTTAATTTTATTAGAAAGCTTAGTAGACAGTTTAGTAAGATGAGACATTGAAGAAAATCGACTTACTTTTTACATTACATATGAAAGGACATTTCAAAGTCATTTAATGTTGTTTTTAGTGCAAAAATTTAAGTAAAATTCTATATAGATATAGTTCTACCGATAATAAATTAACTTAATAATGCAAATATCACCAAAAAATAACAACTTTTAACGCTTTATAAACTAATACACTTGATTTTTGGAATGCACTGGACAAATAAAATCGCCGGTAAATCATAAATTACGACGCGCTACTAACGGCAAACGCCGTACCTAACTGGTCCTAACTTTAAAAGCCGTATCTTCACAGAAGCGGGAGTAGATACGGCATTTTTAATTGGTACTATACACATACGGCGTATTTTCTTGGGACAGAATACTAACTTTGCAGATACAGCTAATTGTTATGTTGGATTTTTTATATTTTGGAAACATATTCCGCATTTCAGCTTGGTAAAAAGTTAATTTAGCTTGCCACGACCCCGTTGATGCAAAAATCTCAAAATCCAAATTTTTTTGTAGATACGGTATCTGTTTTTAGGACTTTGGTACAAGCGTCCACTTTTTGAAAATAAGTCACGAGTATGCCCACATAATATCAATGTTCTATGAATATACTAAGAACGTACTGTTTATGTTCTTTTTGGTATGTCCTTGCTAGAATGTTCTTAGAGCATATTCTAGAATATTCTAGAATATTCTAGAATATTCTAGAAAGTATTTACTGAGTACGTGCTTTGAAAGTATATTTTAAAAAGTATACGTGCCTTAATGGTATATTCTAAAAAGTACATAATGAGCACGTTCTATAACAGGACATTCTTAGAAGATACTATAGGTCATATACCCACATGTACGTTCTTAAAGCTTACAGGTAAAAATTATTACCAAATACTTGTAAAAACACGTTTATATACATATCTATATGCATTTTTCCCAGATGCCGATCTGATAATTCGCTAGCAAACATACTAATGTTGAGTGTTCAGGCTAAAAAACATTCACAGCTTTAATAGAAGAGAAGAATGGCATAACCTACACATTTTTCGGTCACTCTTGATATTGCATCGCTTCGGTATTGAATAGGCAAAGAATACCTACCCAAGAAAAACTGAATGAGTTTTGGTATGTACCAAAGCATGGGAGATTAGTTCACTGGGAAAAGTATGAAAATTAATCAATTTTTGTCGTTTGGTTCATAAGAATTAAACATATACTAAAGTAACAATGACAGACAGAAAATTCTTACTATGTCCATTTGGTAGATTTTCACACTTTTATTTTAAAAAATAAAATATTTTTTAAAAAAACACTAACATGACATATGTTTCGAAGTACAACTTCTTTTTCAAATGTGACTATTTACAATTCGGTATCCAATATATATACGAAATAATTTAACAAAACAAAGTACTTAAGAAAACATCAATAACATTACAAAATAAACTAACTATTTAAAGTAAATAAGGGTACTTAGGTAATTATAATATCCATCAAATAACAATAAGATAGCCCATTACCGGGATTATCTCACAGAAAACTGGGAAAGAGATTTAATAAGAGTGAATTATTAATATCTAATTGATCATTTAGTAAGTTATCTGAATTTTTAAATCTATTTATTTCAAGTGTTTCTAAATAGTTTAATTTAAGGCTCTTATTTTCTACATGTAAAATTTCAAAGTTGTCTGTAAAAGAATGATTTTCAGCTAAAATATGATTTGAGTAAGTAGAATTATTTTTGTTTTTTGTATAGCTATTATAATGTTCGGAATAGCGTTTTTTGAAAGTACGGCCTGTTTAACCAATATACAATTTTGGACAACTACCACAATTTAATTTATATACCCCCGATTTATTATTAGGATTAATTTTACCCTTATTGTTTTTAATATACTTCCCAAGCGTATTATTGGTTTTAAAAGCTACGTTAATATTTTGGTTTTTTAAATATGATGATACCTTTTCACTAGGAGCTCCTATATATGTAAGACTCTTATATCTGCAATTTGGATCTTTAATTATGGGATAAACTTGTTGAATAGCCTGTTTAAAAAGTTTTTTCTCTAAAATGTTGTCTACTAACTTTGAATTAAAATTATTATTTACTGCGATTTGTTTAATGATATTTAATTCTTTTGTGAAGTTCTCTTTGGTAAGGGGAATATTAACTAATCTATGGATCATACTGTTGTATGCTGCCAGCTTTTGTTTGTATGGATGAGATGAACTATTATTTATTGTAATATCCGTATGTGATGGCTTATGAAATATCCCAAAACTATGGCCTTTATTATTTTTAATAATATTTAAGTCTAAAAAATTAATTGAATTATCCTTCTCTGTTTCCATAGTAAATTTAATATTAGGGTGTATAGTATTGATAAAAACTAGTAGACAACATTTTAGAGAAAAAACTTTTTAAACAGGCTATTTAACAAGTTTATCCCATAATTAAAGATCCAAATTGCAGATAGAGTCTTACATATATAGGAGCTCCTAGTGAAAAGGTATCATCATATTTAAAAAACCAAAATATTAACGTAGCTTTTAAAACCAATAATACGCTTGGGAAGTATATTAAAAACAATAAGGGTAAAATTAATCCTAATAATAAATCGGGGGTATATAAATTAAATTGTGGTAGTTGTCCAAAATTGTATATTGGTCAAACAGGCCGTACTTTCAAAAAACGCTATTCCGAACATTATAATAGCTATACAAAAAACAAAAATAATTCTACTTACTCAAATCATATTTTAGCTGAAAATCATTCTTTTACAGACAACTTTGAAATTTTACATGTAGAAAATAAGAGCCTTAAATTAAACCATTTAGAAACACTTGAAATAAATAGATTTAAAAATTCAGATAACTTACTAAATGATCAATTAGATATTAATAATTCACCCTTATTAAATCTCTTTCCCAGTTTTCTGTGAGATAATCCCGGTAATGGGCTATCTTATTGTTATTTGATGGATATTATAATTACCTAAGTACCCTTATTTACTTTAAATAGTTAGTTTATTTTGTAATGTTATTGATGTTTTCTTAAGTACTTTGTTTTGTTAAATTATTTCGTATATATATTGGATACCGAATTGTAAATAGTCACATTTGAAAAAGAAGTTGTACTTCGAAACATATGTCATGTTAGTGTTTTTTTAAAAAAAAGTTTATTTATAAAATAAAAGTGTGAAAATCTACCAAATTTGGTTTTACTCTTTCAAAATTAAATAGATTTTCATCAAGTAAAGGCCAAAACAATAAATAATTGAAAATATAAATTTAACTTTCGTCACTAGAGACGAAAGTTAACGTTATAAGAATTGCTCTTACTTGCGACGAAAATCATGTTTTCTCTGAAGGTATTCTATTACAAAATGATGTCTTTTTGTAAAGGGTTGTAGAAAAAAAATATTTACCACTAAAAAAATTGCCGATAAAATCTTACCTTATGAATCACCCTGTATATTGTTTTCCTTTTTGTTTGTATTGTTTAGAAATGACAAGACTCATCATTTTATAAAATACAAACTATACAGGGTGTTTAGTTTATTTATTTTGTAATAGGACTTTAAATGTTCCATTTAGTATAAAGAAGTTTGGCATCACTTCCGGTTACACCGGAAGTGGCTGGCTACCGGAAATAATATTTTTAGATCGATAGAGCGTTCTTGAAAATTCCACATACCCAATTTTTAATCGAATATCTCTATTCGATATAGGGTGGATGAATTAATCTGGGACACGCTGTATAGGCTTTTTTTGGTATTAGAAAGCATATTATGGACACTGTTTCACTATAGCCGCTATATTG